ACTTGTAGATGGAGTTCTAATCCGGAACAGGTTTCTGTGCTAGTCTGGAGATTATGGCCACCAGGTGAGACAGGTAATGACAGTTGAAGTCACTGTGACATTAGGTGCAAACCCAGAGTAGCTGGCTGAGGAGTTCAGGGCAGGGAGGAAACCTGGAGCAGCTTTGGCAGGACTGGAGCTGGGCTCTGAAGGGATTCAGAAAGAGGAAAGAAGAAGGTATTTCAAGCATGTTTTTAGCATAAGAACATTCATGAAGGTTGGCGGGCATAGCTTGTTCTGAGGATGGGGGGCCAGCCTGACCCTGGGGGCAGACTGGAGAGGGTCTGAGGGCCTCAGAAGGCCTTGACAGGCTGAGGCATTTTTGGCCATAAAAGATGGCTATGGTTCTGCTTTGTTCTGTTGGCATGGGGCAGGTCGTGCTGTGGCAGAAGGGAGCAGAGCGGTGGGATGGCACCACAGAAGCAGAGCTGACCTGGTTGCGACAAGAAAGGAGCCTGACAGCTAACAGGGAAGGCTGAGGCACAGGGGCCCTGCTGGGAGCCTTGGCAGTGCGGCAGAGCAAGGGGTCCCCCAGGGGAGGGCGCTCCCATGAGAGCAACTCATGGAGAGGGGGGGACTCCATCACCTACTGAGGGCAAAGGCTCGGTCGAGTCTGCCTGGCTCTGGGATTCTGAGCCTTGGAAGAGGGTTGGAAGTTGTTCTTGGAGGAGGTCTCACCATCAAATTGAGACTGGGTCATAACACATCAACTACCTGCAGTTTGCGGACCTTACTTGAATCCTGACTTGTACAAACGAACTATTTAAACGTTATGGGATATTAGAAAATTTTGAATTCTGTCTTTGATAAAACTAAGGAATTGTTAACTTTTTAAGTGTGGTAATGGTATTGCGGATTTGTGTTAAGAGTCCTTATGTTTTAGAGACACGTACGTAAGTACAGATGAAATACATTTGGATCTGTTTCGAAGTTATCCGGGGTAGGGGATTGCTGGTGTGGTGTAGACGAAGCTGGGCTGGCTGTGAGTAGTCGGTTGCCAAAGCTAGGGGACGCAGGGGCTCACTTTATTCTTCTCTCAACTACTGCATATTTTTGAAATTTTCCATGGAAAAGTTCTGGTCCTCAGGTGATGCAAGTTTTCACTTTGGACCTCACGATGCCCAGTCAGAAATCAGGAGAGGCGTTTTGAGCTGTGCCATGTTAATCTCATGTCACATTTCAAAACAGAAATTTGGCCCGCTTCTGTTTTGCCTAAGGTAGAAAAATTCATGAACTGGAAAGAAATACTGCCTTGACTTTATTTGGAAAAACAAACTGGGAAATACACCTGATCTCCTTTATCACCATCATGGGAGAAATCCAGCCAGCTGGAGAGGCAAAATCAAGGTTCAGAAAAGTCAGATTTTTACAGTAGCTGGAAATAAATGATTCTTTTGAGAGAGTCAGTCCCGAGACGGGTTTTCTGGCAGCAGAGCACTTGGCATGACCGTGAAAGCTGAGACTGAATTGAAAAAGTACAGCCTGGGCTGTAGCTGCCAGCCAGCGGCCCGTATTGCTGTGGCAACAGCTGCCCACTGCCCAGGCAGAGGCGGGGAGGCAGAGAGGAGTCCCCTGCTTACGCCCCGATCCTGGCTGTCCTGCTGCCCACCCACACGACACCTTGTCTCTCACATAAGCCACAAAGACAGGAGCTGCTCTGAAATATCCCCAGCTGTCCAAGAGGGGGACACCAGCCATCACATGCTGGTGGAGGGTCCTGTGAACTGCTGTGGAGTCCCTTACTTGGCAGGCCATGTCCCAGGATGAAGGGAAGCAACCAGATATCCTTTTTCAGTGAGCGACCCCAAACAGAACAGATCCTCGTGCAGGTAAACTAGGAAGCTGGGAGGGTCAATTTGAACTGAAGCAAGTAACATCATTTTCCTTTTCTTTTTTGATGGGAAAAAAAGTTACATGGGGAAATACGGAGGCTAGGGGGTTCATATAGGTGCATACTGCCTTGGAGAGCAACAGGCACAAAATTAGCTTGAGAATCCGGCTCAGTAAACATGTAAGGGCCTGCTCTGTGCCAGGCACTGGGAAAGGCAGGGATGAATGAGACAGGCTCCTTGCCATGAAGGACAGCATGGCAGAGGAAGAAAACAGGCGTGCACAAAATCTCCTGGATTAATACCGAAACTGTGACCTAGGCAAAGTAAATCTCTTACTAAGCCAGAGTCTAACTTCAGGCCAATCACTTAAATCTCAATTTTTCATCTATAAAACAGGGCAATTCTTGCCTTGCTGACTCTGTAGGGTTGTAGAGTTGTAAGGACCAAAACTACTAAAATAATAATAATAATAATAAAAACAGTAACAACAGTAAAGCAGGAATAGAAGAGGCTTTTTAAACCCTGCTGCCCTAAGGGCCTGTGACTGTGGACAGCAGCCAAGCCCCGTGGCCGGCCCCTGTTGCAGCGCCGCCCCCTCTCCAGGCAGCCCCAGAACAGCCACACCTGGGGCCCTCATCCTCAAGCTGGTTCCGACTGGGCCCGTCACATGCTCAGGAACTGCCTTGGCTGAGCAACTCGCACCAACTCGTTGAAACTCGCCCAATTCAGAGGGTGAAGGCTTCCCAGTACCTTCATAAATCCTGGGGCTTGAAAGCCAGAAGGAACCTTCTAGAACACAGTGTCCGTATTCCCATGTGTATGAAGGGCAAAGGAGACTTAGGCAGGAAATGTGACCTGCTCTGGGTTACTCATTGAGGTGGCGGAACAGCTGGTGCTAGAGTCTTGCTCTCTGGACTCTCCTGGGCCAGCAGAGCTGCTTCTCTTTATAGGAAGGTTTCACCACCCCTGACTGTGGCCTTTTCTATCCCTAGTCTTTCCTGCCTCCAAAGACCTAATTCAGCCTAACTTCCAATAGAGAGTATTTAGGGCAAAAGAAAAAAGAAAAATTCCTCCTGATAACCTTTTCCCAGGCTCTTTGTTCTTTGGGGCCTTTCATTCTTGTGGAAAATGTTTACTAAATGCCTGTTATGTGTGTGACCCTAATCACAGCATGAACTCACAGAGATGAAAGTGGGATGTCCCGGCCCCCAAGCAGTCCTGGTCTCGTTATCACTAAAATGCTCTCTTGGAATCTCTGCTCCAGTGAAAGCAAGTCCTTCTTCTACCTAGTTCCCTGGTCATGTGTGCAAGGAGCGAATATCACTGCTGTGCCTCTTACTTCCTGAACTTTCCATTCATCCTGGCTGGCGGCTCTGCCACCCCGGCTGTGGGCCCAGGTGGTATTGTGGGCAGAGAAAGCAGTGGTAGCCACACTCCGGAAGGCTTGCCACCAGATATCTCTGCCTCTTCCCTGACCTTTAGTGTTGGCTTCAGACTTAATGATTGCTCCCTCTCTGCTCCCTGCCATCCCTAAGGAATTTGATTTCCCCCGGTGGAATAACTGTTCTACGGCAGTTTGTCCCTAAGGTGACTGCTTTGGTGTCCCCTAGCCTCCTTCTCCCTCCATTGCCATCTTGGTGTAATTGAGCTGCTCTGCAGTCTTGGAGATAGAAGCTATATAGCTCAGCAGAGATTCTTACTGACGTGTGCAAGTGAGAAAACTGGTGTCCAGGGAAAGGCCAAATTAGAGACTCTGAAATCCCTTCAAGCTCTAACATTTCCAGGACGGCCCATATTCAGGTTGACAGCCTGAAAAATGAGTAGGGTTTGTGAGTGTCCTGACCTAGGAAGATTTCCCACCAGAAGTGTGTTCCTGGCCCCTCTGCTCCAGTTAACATTCTTCCTCGTGCTGTAACACGGATGAATAGACCCTGGATGGCAAAGCGTGATTCCCAACTCCGGGAGAGCCCACAGGGCACCATGCTTCTATCCTAACGAGCCATGACATGCCAATTATTTGCTTTTCTGGAGAAACCTCAGCCTGAAAAATCCGTTTAATTACCATGGGAGATAATCTTTTAAACATAGCTTTACATTCCTTAAAGATTTTTCCCTGTGGGAGTAAGAAAGTTTATCTGAAAATGGGATTGGATTGTTTATTTCTATTTCCAGAGGAAGAACTATTACCTGTAGTTAGCAAGCCACCTGAGCCCTGGAGAATTTATTTTTTTAAGTCTGTTCCTCCTCACTGATAGTTTGTCAATTATAGTGCAACAATCAGTAGTATTGTCACAGTGTAAACTTTGCACTTAGCTCTGTGATTCCAGACCTATAATTACTTGATATTTTTCAAGCATCCCTATCAGGTTGGATTCTGCACTGACCTAGATGTGGGTATCAAGAGTCAATGTCACAGAGAAGACAAGTAGTGATTCTACAACATCTTACTATGCTGATGGACAGTGACTGTAATGGGGTTTGTAGGGGGAACTTGGGATAGGGGAGAGCCTAGTAAACATAATGTTCTTCATGTAATTGTAGATTAATGATAACAAAATTAAAAAAAAAAAGAGTCAATGTCCTCAGGGTTTCCCATAAGAAAGATCATACCTGTAAATCCACCAACCTCAGAAACCTACCTGGAGCTGTGGTCAATCAGACACCAGTTTTTTCAGGCTGGAGCATCCCAGAGGATTCATCAAACTCTTCACAGCTACGATACAAGCTTGGGGGAGCAGGGGCCCTATTGTTGTGTTCAACGTGGTGGCCCCCAGTCCCAGAGCAATTCCTGCTCATAATAGGGGTGCAGTAAACAGATGCTAAATTGCTGAAATTCAACAGGTCTTCATATGGAAAGGATGTGTATTGTGTCAAAATATGAGCAATGTACAATTAGAGAGCTTGGTGGGCCCAGGTCTCTGGCATGGGGCTGCTCTAGTCTTTCTTTCCCCAAATCACTTTAAAAGCAAGTGGGCTGTAGGCTGAGATCTCTGGGCCTTAAAGAATATACCACTGGAGATTAAGGAAAGAAGAGAAAAGGAGTAATTGTATTGAGCACAGAATTAGAAGGTGAGAAAAACACTTGTGTGGAAAACTGAAGAAACCTTGGGCTTGAATCTCTCCTTGCAGGTCCTGATGGGGAGAAGAGCTGGTCTGAGAAGTACCCATCGTGTGGGGGCCTGCTGCAGTCCCCGATAGATCTGCACAGTGGCATCCTCCAGTACGACGCCAGCCTCGTGCCCCTTGGGTTCCAAGGCTATAACGTGTCTGCCCATGAGCAGTTTGTCCTGACCAATAATGGCCATTCAGGTAAGGGGAGACTGCTGAGACTGCAGGAGATGTCTGAGCTTCCCTCAGCTCCCTGCCCTGTCCCCCTCCATCTGCCATGGAGGGACCTCCCTTGAGGTGCCCGGGGGAAGGGGCAGAGAGGAGCCCTTGAGGGATGCCCAGCCACTCTCTCCAGGTGGTGCTGGCGGCCCTGGGTTTGGGTGGTTCTGCTGGGACAGAACCTCTTTGAAGAGGTGATGGGATGGGAGAAGGGACAGGCCTGCGCCCCTTGGCCCAACTATTCAAGGAGCCATACAGTTCATTATGGGTACAGCCAGGCTTCGGAGCCAGATGAACCTGGGTTTGAATCCTGCCATGACTACTTATGAGACTCCGGGTAAGAACTTTTACCTCCTGGGCTTCCATCTGGCTAGTGGGCAGTCAGTGGGTACTGTAAAGACTGGGTTATGCATGTTGAGCTCTAGAATAGAGTAGATGCTTCATAAATGGTAATTATTATCATTATTGTTATACAATTCTACAGCTTGGCAGATATTTCATTAAAGGTTGTATCTTCATAGTACATAGTACAAGGATATGTAAATAAACACCCATCCATTGGTCTAGTTTTAGTGTTTCTGCCACATTTCCCACCAGAACCAAGAAGGTGCTGGTGTCTCTGCAAATGGGAATGTTCTCAGGAAAGGAGCCCAGGTTTCTGAGCCACAGGCCGTGCCTCTCTGGTCTCCACCTTGCTGCATCCACATGCCTGCTGCCTGAGCCCTGGGCAGGTGTGGCCTACCTGCTGGCTCTCAGGCAGCACAGATGCCAAGGCTCTGAAGGCTGCCCCTCCACTCCCCGCAGTGAGGATGAACCTGCCCCCAGGCCTGCACATCCGGGGCCTCCAGTCCCGCTACAGCGCCACGCAGCTGCACCTGCACTGGGGGGACCAGAGCGACCCCCACGGCTCTGAGCACACTGTTGGCGGGAAGCATTTCGCTGCAGAGGTGAGTAGCGGAGCTAGGCTGGCAGGGGCTGCCTGGCAGTGGGTGGTCTGGCACCCTTTACCTGGCTGGTGTGCAGGTAAGATCAGAACTGCCTTCATGCTCTGCATGCCCACCCCGGCCCTGTCAGCGGCACAGGAAGAAGTAGCTGCTTCCGCCACCCAGTTCACCTGCAGTGTCCTGGTCCCCTGCCCCACCTGAACATGCTGAGTGTGTCTCTGTATCTTTTACTGCTGCTCAGAAGGCTGCGCTCCCAGGGTGGCACGGTGGGATGCACATGCCCCTTTTCTAGTTGTCACCTTCTGTTTGCACAGACTACGGTCCCACCAGCTTGTCTGGCTGACTCATCCCACTGCTGATTCACCTGGGCTAATTGCTCCCCCAAAGCCCTCCGTCTTCCTTCCTGCGAAATGATGCTTGCATAGGTCTGTCCCACCCACCTTCCCTTTCCCTGGGCATGAGTTCTCCTTGGAACTTGGTGATCCAGGGCCACTCTTCTACTTGGCCACAAATCAAGGGATGAACGGCATCATATTGTGCAGAGCATTGTGGCAATCAGAGACTCCCGAGGATAGCCTGGGATGTCCGCCCAGCAGCGTTACGCACTGCAGTGCTGACCCAAGTGCTCAAAGACAGCGGCAGGAGGGGCAGAGCGTTGTCCCTGCACCGCAAGGGGGCAAGGGCTGGGGCGTGCTTGGGGCGCTCCTCACAGTTCCCATGGGACTGAACTTGGGGGTGTGGTTCTCAATGTTTACAGGGCAATACAAAGAGAGGGATGCTACTGATCAGCCAGTGGGGACCACAGTAAATACTGACATGGCCATTGTCCTCTGTTCTGGACTGCGGAGCTGCTTAAGGTCTCAGGCCTCTAATAGGTGGAGTTATGACTATGGAGGGGCTCTAATCCCCACCCAACGGGATAGCACTCCTGAAGGTGCATATTTCACACCAGGCCCCTCTCGGAACCCCTCTCTGGACAATTTTGTTCAGGCTAATTGCAATGGGGAGGCTTCTACTTTCCCAAGGGGAATAAAGGGAGGAGTTAGAGTGTAGGCTGTGGAGGTTTGGGCATTTTGAAATATTCCTAGTTGTTGTATTTTCTGCTATTAAGCCACATCATCAGACCAAGGTCCTGGTGAAGATGGACCGTAAGTGTCAGTAATAGAGAAAATACATCAAGGTGACTGCGAGGCAGCAGATTCTTTCTGGAGGGTCCTTGAAAGTGTAGTATTTCTTCTGGGTTGAGTCTGTGTAAGACAAGACTTGTCTTAATCCCCTCCTCGGGGAGGATTTGTTTGTTAGTCTTCACCTCTTCTTGAATCTGAAGGCAGTGAGGAAAGTGCTAAAACAGACCCACTTTTTAAAATCCTAGCCATACAGAATTCAGCTCCATTTCTCAAGGTGGTGCTAAGCCAAGATGGTGTGAGGCAATGCAGCAGGTTACGTCCCTTGAGGGAAAGATGGCAAAAAAGGAGCCCCTAAGAAACCCTTATAATAGAGGACCACTTAAAAGAAGTAATGTGATACAATTTTTTTTAATTAAAAAGGGCCATTTGAAAAGTGGGAACGCTGAGCTGTAGTCAATAAAATATGCTTGAATTCTATTTACAGTCACAAAAGATTGGAAAAGAGATGAACGAAGAAAGAGTAAAGAGAGATAATATCGCAATGTGCCACGTTTCCAAGAGGCAAAGAATCAATAAAAATGCATGTGTCACATGTAGAGCTACCTACTAATATAGGTTTTTGGAGAACAGGTGACACCACCTTTAGGATTAAAAATCAAGTTTAAACATTGTCAGAATTTGTCACAACAATGTCTTAATGCTTACCTAGACTTTTTAAAACCCAAGATTTCTCAGAAACGTCTCTTTTCCTCATTTTAATAATGACAAGTAATTTCTGCTTTGAAAAATGAGTTTAGAATTTTATTTTGTAAAGGTGAAAGTCTATATGCATGGAGTAACATTCTTGTTTCATGGACTCTTAAAATATGGCTAAGAAAACCTTTATTAAATCCATGCTGTGATTTTTCTCCCCTGAAGGAAAACACATGTCCTGCTCTGGATACAATTATGATTAAGTTACAGTTGGAGGTTCCCCACCCCGGTCCCCACTGCTTCCAGATTAAGTGCAGCATGGCCAGGCTGAGGTTGGGCAAGCCATGTGAGACCATTTCAGCCCAGGCTCCAGAATAAGTAGGAAAAATAAGATGGGAGAAGAGCTTTTTATCCAAGCCTTTTCATGGCAAGGATAAAAACCCATTCATACATTCATTCATTCATTCATTCATCTATTGTGTACCTGGTACTTTTCGAGCGCTGTATCAGACACTGGGATACAATGAGTCAATAGATTGACAGTCTGCCCTGGTGGAGTTGGCAGTCTGGAGGAGTGATGGAAAAGGGTAAACTGAGGGGGCCACCAAGGGAAGGTGTTGGACGGCTAATCTAGCTGGGCGGCCAGTGTGTGTGTGTCTGTCTGTCTGTCCTCTCCATGGGATTCCAGTCTCCTGCAAAATAAAAACATTCCTGTGAGTTGTACATCCCCTCATGAGTGGCTTCTCTCCCACTGCAGCTGCATATTGTCCATTATAACTCGGACCTGTACTCCAATGCCAGCGCTGCCAGTAACAAGTCAGAAGGCCTCGCTGTCCTCGCTGTTCTCATAGAGGTAAGAGACATTTCAAAGGATTTTACAGGACATTTGAAGCTGGGATGATTGATTTGGCATTTGGTTCTATGCACCCCTGCCTGTTGGATGTGCGGGGCTCACTCCCATGTGGCTGTGTCTTGTGCTAGATCAGGAGGTTTTCCCCTGTAGGGTTCCTTCTCTCTTGTCCTGGAGGCAGCACTTTCTGTTTCTGGGCAGCAAAAATGGGCATGTCCTTTGTGACATTGGAAAAATGAGCTCCAGTCTCCAACCCTATTGCATAAAGCATGGAATTGCCCAGTAGGATAGGACCTGTGGTGGGGTGGGGACCATTCAGTGCCACTCTGTGTCAGATGCCTGAAGCCCTGGTGAAACTCCTGGTATCCAAGCTCCGTCCTTTATCTGGACCCTAGAATTAGTTCTTTCCTTAATCCCAGGACAGGAGACTATCTCTTGATTTACCTGCATTTTTCCCCCTCTAATGAGACAGCATGTACCTCGTTTCTCAGCGTACTCACTTGCCTGACTTGGCTTGCATGAACTCAAGCTTCCTTAAGTTCTGGCTAGAGAACATGCTAGCTGTGGCCTTCAGGTTCATAGCCAGATAATCAGGTGCCCCTTGCCCTGGAACACTCAAGCCCCAGTGCCTTGACCTGGAAATATGACATCCTGAGATACATGAGGGCAGGACCATTAGCCCAAGCCCCTAACAGCCTTGTGATCCATCACAACTGTCATGGTAGAGTGCACCCTTAGGGAAGGACCTAGGCAGTGTGACTAGACACCCCCAGCTGGGCCCTCCCTTTAGCACCTGTCAGTCCGGCTCAGCCCACAGAACTCCTGTCGCAGTCCAACCTGCCCCATCTCTGTTGCAGATGGGCTCCTTCAGTCCATCCTATGACAATATCTTCAGTCATCTTCAAGATGTGAAGTACAAAGGTGAGTGAGTGGTCCTCGGATGCTCTGTTGGGGAAGGAGTTAGGCACCCCCATGTGACCTGAGAAAGAAGAATGCAGGGGGCAGATGCTGCCAGTGAACAGGTCCTTGGGTCAGATGGTCCAGCAAGGGGCTACTGTGCATTTCTAGGCTCAGTCAGATGCTCAGCTCCACCACTGCCATGGGGAGCAAGGCTGACACTATCCCCCCAACGTGTCTCTCCAGGCCAAGAAGTCCTCATTCCAGGTTTTAGCATTGAAGAGCTGCTTCCTGAGAAGCCTGCCGAGTACTACCGCTACAAAGGGTCTCTGACCACACCTCCCTGCCACCCCACTGTGCTCTGGACTGTGTTCCGGAACCCTGTGCAAATTTCCAAAGAGCAGGTAACAGTCGTGCCCTTCCAGTCAGAGACCACGCGGTCCCTCGGTCCCTCCATCCCTCCCACCACCACGTCATAATGAACAACTTGGTTTCCTCGCTTACAGCTTCATTGGCAGCTATGCCAAACCTCTCCAAATACCACAGGTGGCTGGAAGCACTGCAGAAATTACAGGCAGAGCTTCAAAAGTGGAGCTATCAAGTCAAGCTATGAAAATGAGCTCATCCCCACAGTTCTTTAAAGAGTTGCTTGGCTGCATTTCCTAGTATATGCCTCAGTGGGTGGCCCTTGCCTCCCAGGCAGAAGGGAGCACGGTTCCTTCACAGGGGCAGGATAAAGAAAGGATCAGTTTAAGTCATTCAACAAACCAGGGGGACGGAAGTGCAGCGATGGGTAAGTGAGGGTCCCTGCCCTCAAGAAGCTCACAAACTGGGGAACAGAATCCTTAGCCATCATCTCTAACCCTCTCATTTTACAGGTGATGAAAGTGACAGAGAGTTGAGAAAACCTGTGGGATCCCCCGCTGGCTAGTGACAAAACTAAGACCTAAAGTCAGACCTGAGCTCCAGGCCACCGCCCGTCCCTAAGCTCCTCAGCTGTGCAGGAGACAGGGCCGGGGCACTGCTGCATCCTGGCTCATGGCCCACCCTGCGCCCCCACCCCTCTTCATGAGTGCAGAATAGCCCTCCCTGTTACTCCTTCATTTTCACTCTGAGCTACTGATCCGAGGGACCTAGATAAATGGCAGCAAGTAGGCGGGCAGGAATAAAGATGTGATGAATCAAGAGATGAAATGTGTGGGGAAGCAGTAACATCCTAACCCAGAAACTGCCTTGCAAACAGATTATATAATCTATGTGGGTGTATGAAAAATGCCAGGGAACTAGTAGTCAGATGACCTGTGAAACTCTTGCTTCCATATTTTTGTTCCTCCTGATGAAATTATTAGAATAAACCCACACCCCTCTGATTTAGCGATGCATCTGAAACCAGGTTCCTGAGAGGAATGTATTCTCTGCTGCTCTGCCACCGCAGGTTTCCCTCCCTGGAGGGTAGATTTCAGGCATAGTCAGGAGCTAAAAGCAGGACCCTACCCCCGAGCCTTGGGAGGTGGGAAGACAGACCAGGCCCCCGGTACCCAGGCACCCACTCAGTGGGAGGGGGAGCAGTTCTCTGACTTCCCCACTACTCTCTAATGTGTCTCCTGCCAAGTACCTGGACATGAGAGCTGGCAGTCTCTGCCCCTTGAGGGAGCGTCACTCAGCCCGTGGGGCACATCTCTGCTCCTCCCCTTGCAGCTGCTGGCTTTGGAGACAGCTCTGTACTGCACACAAATGGATGACCCGTCCCCCAGGGAAATGGTCAACAACTTTCGGCAGGTCCAGAAGTTTGATGAGAGGCTGGTGTATGTCTCCTTCCGGCAAGGTGAGGCAATCAGTGCGTATGGGCAGTGTGGTGCCCAGATGTGGGTTTTGTGTGAAGTTAGGTGCCCTGCCCTTGGGCTTTGTCTCCAGTGCCCTGAGGAGGTGGGTTAAGAGCACTCTGGCTGCCAAGGGTACCAGGGTATGTGAGGAGCTATTGTGTGTGGTGTGCCGAGGTCTCCCTTCAGGGAAGCACAACCAGGGCCTGCAGGTGCATGACCAGAGCTCTCCCTAGTCCAGGAGCTGCCCACCGATGGGGGAAAGAGGGTGTTCAAGGGACATCTGCACTTTGGAGAACTACCCCTTCTCCTAAGACACATTTAGGACCCTTGTCATGAGATGCAACTCTTGCCTTCTTATCCTAGGCTTTCTTGGCATCAAGACCCATCCTTGGCTTTGCCATCAGCACCACCAATGTCCAGGGAAGCTCCTGTACAAGGTTTCAGACAGTGGGCATAACTCACGTCCGTGGTCCCAAGCAGCTCATGTTCTAAGGGGCTTATCAGGCAGGACAGCGCCTGCGTGCTTTGCCTTTTTGTCTCGTCTCCCTGGAGCGCGCGTAAACTCAGGCACACGGGACCTACACTGAATGCAGCTTAATAGTTCAGTTTATTCCTGACTTTGTGAAAACTCAGTTCTTCCTTTTAAAACCATAACCGTAACTCCCCAGAAGGACACTGAACATCTTTACTTGCTCAGTACCTATGTCAGTACTGCTAGAAGCTGGGGGTCTAGGGAGATGGGTAAGGGCGCTCTCTTGGGGCCCATACTTTTCTTCACATGTCCTAGTTTACCTTCTCGCTGTAGTTTCTTGAGCCGCTCCCCATATGGCAATCTCAAGGGGCCAGAAGCAGGGCAGGCCTGTGCAAGTTCCACTTTATCCCCTTACATGCACAAGTGTGTGACCAAACCGGGCAGGTGTTCATGTTAGAAGATGACCCTATTAACCCACCTGTCAGAGAATCAGCTCGCCTTATCTCACTTGGTGCACCTTTTTGGTTCCTTTCCTTTGCTTGAGATTACAACTGTCACCTACTAAGCTTTGTTGAACATATGAAGATTGAATTTCAAAGCTTTTGTCAGAAGCTTTAAAAAATGCCCTTCTGAACATACATATGGCCAGAATTACGTTCTTCTCTGTCAGTTACTTAATCAAGAAATGCTCACAAATTTATCTTTCATGTTCTCCTTGTCAGATTTTACTGCTCAAGGTAATTTCCCTCTTTTCTTCATTTTCTTAACTGAAAACTGAGCCTAAACAATGACCCTTCCTAAGAACTGAGGATGTATAGGATGATGACCACCAACTTCTTTTCTAGGAAATGCCTCAAATGTCCAGAATTATCACTTTATGATCTCTTCTGGATATAACTCTCCTTTCCTGTTCTTCAAAATGGAGTATGTAGTAATCAAGGGTTAAATGGAAATACTTCAACTCTTATATGAAATATAATACATAAAACTCTGCCTATAGATAAGGGACTTTGCCTACATAAATCAGGTAGAAGTTTGCTTATAATTCAAGGAGAATAATAAGCTCTGTTCAGTTGAGCAGGCCAGAGAGGTCACAGGGGATAGGGTGACGGGTGCTCCCCTACAGTCAGGAGATCTCAGGAGGTTTAAGGCCTTGCTTTGTTTCCTCCTGGCTGTATGATGCGGGCAAATCATGTTCCTTCTTTGGCTTGGATTCCTCGGCCATAAAATGACAGGTTGGACTAGGTTAGCTCACGTATTTTCAGTGCTAACATGTTATGATTCTAAGTGGACATTAACAACTGTCCATCCTGACTTTACGTTGCGAGGACACTGTTTTAGGGCAGTTACAGAGGATCAGAAAAAATCCATGCAGGAACTTAGTCTGACAGCCAAAAAGTTGTCCCACCTGTAACAATGGGCTGAGGCACTGGGAATAACTGACCATTTTCTTAGACCAGCTCGGGTCTAAGTTGGCGCTTATAGAGTGGGCAGTGCTGTCAGGCTTTGGCAGAGCGCTTCCATAGACCCTCCCAGTCTGCCTGCGGGAGCCTGAGGGGCCTCTGAGCAGAAGCCCCGACTCACTCCCAGCTTGGGGCCTCCAGAGCCAAGCCCACATGCAGCTTTGCCATTGCCCTCCTGCACGGTTCACCCAGAGCTACTACGTCCAAGAGCACAGGCAGCCCCCAGCTCTCCCTGGAGTGAGAATCCATGGCCGTCCAAGGCAAACCTGTTCAGTGGAGGCTGATTATGGAAACTTGGCCAGAATTATCATCTCCATCCCACTTCCCAAAGAAGCAAGTAGCAAATGGGGCTGTTTCCCAAGGACCAACGAGGAGGCAGCCCCAAAGAAATGAGCCTCAAACCTCACCCCTAAGAGGGGCGCCTGCATTCGCCCAGGCCCTCTCACACCGACTCAGGGCCGGCCTCACACTGTGACACGGGTTTCTGGTTCTGAGGGGAAGTTTGTCAGCGTGAACCTTAAGCAGTTTTGACTCAATTATGTGTATGCTTTTCCACTGAGGCCTGTTTGTAATTAGGGCCTGGTTTATTCAGGGTTTTCTCTGGAAGTTAGCAGGAACTCTGGAGTTTGAAAATTTTGCCATGAGAAAAGTAATGTTAAGGAAATCATCTAGGAGAGAAAGCTCACGGGCTTTGAGAGGAGGATCTGAGGTTTAACCAATTTGGAACAATTGGAACAGTTGGGACCGAACTGTCTAACTTGACCCTGCTTTCTCCTCAACTGTGCCTAGAAAAGGAATAAGGAACTTGGTCTGTTCTTAAGAAGAGGATAGTTTGACTATGACAACCCGAGGGCAACTCACCCTTGGCACCACTGACACTTTGGGCTGGGTCGTTCCTGCTGGGGTGCAGAGCTGTCCTGTGCACCGTAGCCTAAACAAAATGCTTGGCCTCTTGCCACTAGATGCCACAGCGGCCCCCCACTTGGAAAAGCCCAAAATGCCTCCAGATGTTGCCAGATGTCTCTGGGGAAGGGGGGGGGTGAGCAAAATGGCCCCCAATGGAGAACCACTGCCCCAGGGATTGCGCAATGACTTTGCTAGGCCCGGACTGATATTTTTCACTCATATTGCAGGACTCTAAAGTTTACATCACATGCCCTGGTCTTTATTATAGCATGAAATTTTCAGTCTCTATCTGCTCACCCCTGAAACAAGAAGGTTGGGTAGAATAACCAAACCCAAAAGAAACCCTGTTCTCCGTCTTCCTTTAGAATCTGAGCACAATTGACGCTTGAACAATGCAAGGGTCAGGGGAACTGGCCCCCCAAGCAGTACAAAACCTGCTTATAAACTTTTGATTCCTCTGAGACGTAACTTTTAATAGCCCACCGTTGACAGGAAGCCTTACTGATAAACACAGACTGTCAATTAACACATAATTTGTACATGTATTACATACTGTATTCTTACAGGGAAACTAGAGAAAAGAAAAATGGTTTTTCAGGTGGTCACAAAGAAAAAAATTTCCAATATAGTTACTGAAAAAAACCTGCATGTAAGTGGACCCATGCCCATGTGGGTCAAGGGCCAACTGTATATGTTCTTTCTATATAATTGGGTATGTCCAAGACTAAGAGACGTGGTTGAGAGAAAGTTATCGCCTGTAAGAAAAGTGATCCAAGTCCCTTCAGGAGGGGGTCTGGGTGCTCCTCCGGGACTGACTTGCTTCAGAATCCCCTCCTCTTTCTCCCCCCTCCCTTTGAATGTCTGTTTCTTGTTGCCTTGGGTCAAAATGCTCACTCTTTGTGGAGAGGTGAAAGTCACGCCAGGCACTTTTTTCAGCTCGTAAAAAATACCTCTTTACTGTAGCGCAAGTGGAAGACTTGAGCTGAAGAGGGGAAGCAGGACTCATAGTCCTCAAGGTGGGGTCCCAGCAAGGGGGACACGTCCTGGGACCATCCGGCTCCCACAGGAGTCCGATGCCCTACGGGAGGAAAGAGAAAGACGGCAGATGCAGACGTACAGTCCAGGGTCCGACTCTTGGTTCCTTCAAGGTAACCTCTTTCTAGCCAAAGACACCAACACTGAGTCCAGATGGTGACTGATAATAAAGCAAGAGCCCATCGGACCTAAATACTAATGTTATCTAGCCCTCTTTTCAACATGTCAGGCCAAGGGAAACTGGAGGGATGGGAAGAAGCCAAAAAGTTTCCTAATCATGTGTACAGCGGGCCTGCTCTGAGCACCTGCTTGTCACCTGCCGCAGAGGCCGAGCCAGCTAAGGCACACTGAGCACAGGACAGTGGGGGGCAGAGCTTTCTCCCATGGTGCATCTGCGGGCCAGCACGATTAGAATCTGAGCAGTTTTATAAAACTGTTAAAAAAAGAGATAGAAAAAAAATCTTACAAAGCTAATGGCTAATTATCCAATTTTTTGAGACTAAAAGGTATGCTTTGCGGTCATGGACTTTGTGTTTCTAAAAGTTCCTATTTAAAAATAAAATCTATTAGATGGAAAAGAATTATCAATTCTTCCAAACTATCCAAGTGAAAAACCAGAGGAGTTCTCATCTTCAAATTCCCGATGACTGCAGAGGGCCAAAGAGTCAGGAGTAATTGCCAAGTGAGCTAAACGAAGTCCTAGACGCATCTGAGTCTAATGCAATTCACCACACCACATGTTTCCTGAGCACACCCCACGTGAGGCCCCAGGGGAGCAGAAACCCCACATGGATGCTATTTTGCTCTTAACAGCAAGCCTCTGGCACAAAGCTGAGCATGTTTGGGAAAGACAGCAGGAAAAGGGGTTGGGCAGAACACTGGAAGCACCCTTTGTGAGGCGGCCCCAGCTGATATTCCCAGCATTTCTTCTCCCGGCACCCATCCATGCCCTGTGCGGCGTCTCTTAACATGGCAGGTGCTTTCACGTGCATACACTTTTGACTTTTGCACACACTGTCCCTTTTGTCTGGGATGCCCCTCACCTCTTCCACCTGGAAAATTCTTTCAAGACCCACCTCTAATCACATCTTCCAGAAGT